AGATCACCAGACTGTTAGAAATATCACTAATGTGGTGGGGCTTTGATCGGCTTATCTACCATTATTCAGAGTATAAGTGTCACTTCTTGGTCATCCAGTCCAATTAATATGATGGGTTTAATGGACAAATGTGATGTCCTGTGGAATGTCCTGATAGTCCTGGTCCCATATACAAAGGCTAGAAAATTTAATGTCATCCTGGGGCAAGACCATAAATGTACACAACTGTCCATTCATGTGAGTGGAAACTGCTTCTCTTCTTGCTTCTTGATTTGAAAATTGGATGAGTTTCATCCAGCACCCATGTATAATCTTCCAGCTTTTACATATATTGGCTGTGCCTTTGCGACTCTTTTGGCCTGTGGTCTCCTTCCTTCCTTAGCAAGCCCATCATGTTTCTGGCTGGTGTACAGTGTGACTTACTCTATTTATAGATCTGGTGGTCAGGAGGTGGGGATAGATCCCAAGGGGGCATGTGTTTCCTTGTAGACAGAAGCCTCTGCATTGTCTTCAAGCAGGAGGGGCACGGCTAGCTTTTAACAGGGAGAAACAGGCCAGTACTACAGGCCCAGAAAATTCAGGGAAAGCTGAGGATGCAAGATTTCAAGTGCATCAGTCAGGACCCTGACCTTAGTGTGACAGAGCTATTAAGGGTGGAGAATTCAATTTTCCTTGGAGCTCTGCTATTCTTATAATTAAGACCTGGATCTGAGCTTAGGCTTTTTCTGCTATCTAGATGTATACTGTCTACACGTGTTGCCAAGGAGGCTCTCTTGCATTCATGCTCTACTTTATATTAATCATCCTCCACTTTTCATTGCCTTTCTTAATGTATTAATGGTCCCCAGTGACACCCATCCAAATTCCAAAGTGCTTATAATAACCATTTCCCTCACACCTCTCAAGCATTTGAGATTTTTGCCCCTGCCAGTGTATTCCTTTCTCCAGTATCTTATCCCAATTCACCTCTGCAGACAGTTTAACAATTGCATGGTTGCAGCATTCCAAAGGCTCATTGCCAGTGAGCCAGTGGGTGATCCAGCTCCAAAATCCCATTTTAGAGTCTCCTTTCTGGAACCACTCCTGGTATCACAGTCAGCTTCCCAATGAAAAATACAGGAAGGCTCTGAGATTGTCATGCAGGAGGCACCACAGCATCTTTAACAAGAGCTTTATCCCCCATTTTGTGGCCACAGAGAAAACATTATCATATATTGAGGATAGCAGGGTGAAGGGTGGAACGAGCCTGAGGCCTGATGCCATCACAGAATTGGCAATTCCATCCTGTGATAGCATATTTCTTAAGCTTCTTAAGCAAGCACAATGTACTTTCTGTTTAAGACGTTCTTAGGTATTTAGTTACTTGCTGCCAAAGGCATTCTAGTTCATGCATGATCTCAGTTAATGCTTCGTTACCCTGTGCACTGTGAGGTAGGTGTTATTATTATTCCCAGTTCATAAACAAGATAGCTTAAGCTTAGAGAGTACTTGTTCAAGGTCACACAGCTAGAAATTGCTGAGGCCCAGTCTAAACCTTAGCACTATGTGCATCCCAAGTCCATGCTCTTCAACCTTTTAGAAGCATCTGTGTGACAATCGATCAAACTGGGAGGGGGATGGTCTACCTCCCAGATCTGAAGGCGACAGTAGCTTATGTATAGCTAAGATCCACATACACCAGAAAAGCTACCCTTAAGAAGCTCACTGACACCTTACTTGGCGTATTGGGTTGAATACACCAAGTATTGGTGTATTCCAATGGGTTGGATACACCAAGTATTGGCCCTCAAAACAGAAGTCCATGTCTTCATTGTCAGAACCTGCAAATTTGACCTTATATGGAACAAAGATCTTTGCAGATGTCATTAAGGATCTTGAGATGAAGAGCTCACCCTGGGTTATCCAGGTGGGCCCTAAATCCAGTGACAAGTGTCCTTATAAGAGTCATTCAGGGAAGACCTGACAGACAGGAGGAGGAGGCAGTGTGGCCGTGACAGCAGAGACTAGAGTGATGCAGCTGTGAGTCAGGGAACCCCTGAAGGCATGAGGAGCTGGACGAGGGAAAACAGAATCTCCCCTGGAGGCAGCATGACACTGCCCACACCTTGACTTTGGACTCTGGACTGCAGAACTATGAGGGAATAAATCTCTATTGTTTTGCACCACCAAGTTCATGGTAATTTGTTATGGCAGCCTCAGGAAACGAATACACCCGGGATCCTTGTCTTTTTTTCTGGCTAGTTTTTTTTTTTTTTCTTATGTAAAGGGAGTAGTATACCTTCTAAGTTTGGTTGAATATATTCCTCGTATGGCAAATTTCTGTTGGAATCCTTTATATTTTAAAGATAACGTGTGAACTACTTCCTTAGCAGAGGTGGAGGGACCTGTAGAGACATGAATGAGCATTTTTCCGGGAAGAAGGTCCAGAGCCATTATATTCTCAACAGGGTCTTGATAAGCTCCAAAAAATTAAGAATTTCTGAGAGGGAGCCTGGGAAAATGGAAGAATGAGAGGTAGCTGAGCTGTAAGAGAAACGAGTGCTAAGACTGAAAAATACAGAGATGAAGTTTCAAGTATGTGGAAGCCAGAAGGGTCCTGTAAGCATGGTTAGAAGGCTTCAAGTCTCTCTCTTTGGGGAGATGCTTTGGCTTCCTCATGAGTGCAGGCAGGAAAGCAGAAGTTGTAAAGGTCTAGCAAAGGTGACTGCAAAGGGCCAACTCCACGCAGCTCAGAGTCTAGAGGAGAGGAAATGCTCTTTCTGGACAAAGTAGAAAGAGGTTACCAAAAAGTTCAAATTTCTCTAGTTAAAATCTGCAGGTGATTGAAGACGGTAAATTCTGTTTCAATGACAAATCAGTAAAATGCTGTCTCAACAGACCTATTATGTTTCTATATTGGGGTAGAAAAAAGAGAAGATAACATTGGTTTCTAAAAATAAGGAATGGCATGAACTTAAGTCTGACTCTAAAAAGGAAAAGGAAAACGAACGAGATATATTTTCTGAGTCTGTCACTATGAAAATTATGAGATGAAATTTAAAGAATATGGAACAAATCTTAGGCAGAATCTTGGCTGCCGAAACCACAAGCCCCACATGACAGCCTGCTCCATTGAATGCCATGGAAACTGCCTCCCCGGCAGCACGTGGGCTTGGAACCACCTGCACGATTCCTCCATGAAAACACTTGAGATAGGGTTGTGGTAAGCAGAGAGAGAGAGAGGAGAGAGAAATAAAGAGAGAGAGAGAGAGAGAGAGAGGTAGGGGGAGAGGGGGGAGAGTGTTGTAAGGGCAGCTCTGCTTCACAGAAAACTGGAACTGAACCCCTGGAGCCTTCCTAGCAAAATCATGAAGTGTTTTTTAAAACAAATTACCTCACAGGTGTTTACAGTTCAGGTCTGCCTGCCTGTCTGCCAAACTGAAAGGAACAGGTGAAACCCAAACCTGGTTTTCAGCACCATCATTCACAATTCTAACAGGGAAACATCCTTCACAACACAGGAACTTGCTCCTTGAAAATTTCAAATGCTACAGGCTTTCCTGCCACATACCTGGGATATAACATCCAATAGCTCATTTGCAATCTATTGCAGTAAATGTGCTAAGAGCTCAGGAGAAGCAAAATGCACATATGTATAAATGGGCCACAATTCTGTCTAAGGATGCCGCTCTAACAGGGTTTCTGTGAAGCAAAGCCAGTGTTCCTAAAACTTAGAAGAATATGAGAACATCAAGTAAGAAAGGTCTAATTAAGTTGGGGGTTTTGTTTTGTTTTGTTTTTTGTTTTTGAAAAGTCCTCTTGGAACAGAATTAACAAATTCGCAGAGGAATAAAATGTACCAGTCATTTGGCCAGGTAAGTTACATGATGTAGAAGCACATTTTGTGACATGAGTATTCAGTATAGCACAACACTTTCCTCATCAAATTATTTCATTTTTCTTATCCCACGTTAATTTCGAAGCAGGCACTCGCTTGTGAATGGCCTCCACCATCTTCTAGGGTTTGCAGCTCTCAACACCTCCCATCTCTTGCCTGACCCAGAGGCCAATGATGGCTTTTCTATGTGGGCCTAATAACAAATGAAAAGGCAGCGCATTTATTACATTCAACAAACATGTATATATAAATATCTATGCATCAGGCCAAATACTACCATAGCACTTGACAAGCATTAACCCATTTAATCCTCAAAAGACCTGTGAGGTAGGTTCTCTTTTCACCTCCATTTTACAGATGAAGCAACTTGTCTTAGACTTACTGAGAGGTGGAGCCAGGATTTAAATGAGTTTGTGCAATTAACCACTATACAATGCAACCTTAAGTAGTGGTATTATAAACGTGAATGAAGCTGTATTAACAAATAATACTAAGGGCTCATATGTACGCATTTCTTAAAAATGGAGATTTTATTTTATTTTTTTAAATAAAGATTTTTTTAAAGGAAAAGGTTATCTAGAATGTTCATGTGGACAGGTTTTCATCATGGTTTTCTAAAGTTATAATTCGTGAAGCTTTATTATATGTACACAATGGTAGTGTTAGTTGATATAATCAGCCCTCAAATCTGTATGCATCTTTAAATCATCAACTATATTTGTTTCTCTGATTGTAAAAGAAATAATTGTTCATATTTGGAAGATTCAGAAAGGTACGTAAAAAACATTCATAATCCCATCGACCAGAAATCGTCATTGCTGATATTTTCACTTCTATACTCTCTAGTCTTTTTTCTATGTGTACATCTACCCATCTGTATATTGGCTTAACATTTATTAAATGTGACATTTTGTGCACATAATGGATGCATTATTCAAAGAAAAACAATTTATACTCTTTTTCAGTATGCTTATATGTACTAAATATTATCTAAGGATTGAAAAAGTTTAAAATCAATACATTAAGATCACAGAAGTACTATCAGAGTGGAAATAAACCATCAGTGATATGCTAGAGCATTCTTAAAATCTGAATACTCAGTCAAATGAAGTAACAATGGTGATATTTTTCAATATAATTTTATTTCCTTTTCTGCATTACTTAGGAGCATCAGTAGGATGAAAACGATATTTGTTTTTTAAAGCTGTGCACAAATTAATTGATGTGACACACCCATTAATTCATGATTATCTTCTTAATGAATTGATTCTAAAGCTGCTCGAAGCTAGGAAGGCATAAGTCAACCAAAAAGAAATACTGATGTATAACTGTTATAATACTGCTCAGCATTTTAAAAGTAAACTATAGCCATAAAGCATGTTACAATTACTAATAAGGTAATCCACAGAATGCCTTGCTGAGCTAGATGTAGTAGAAATAAATTGCTTCGTATTGGAGGAAAATGAACACTATAAATCAACATACTAGTGTGAAATTTTGCATGGCTACATGCTATAATCTCCAGCATCACAAATGACATAAGGAATTCCTCAGCTGAGAGTGGACTCCTATTGGTGGCCACAATGTCACAGTCTTGAAGACAACTTCCTCTTGACTGTACCAGTAATTTTGCCATATGGATTGTCTAATGGCAGCAAGACCTGTAGAAAAACCATATGGTAACTTAAGAGACATTAAAATAGTTCTTTCCTCCTTTCTAAGAATCAGTTATTAAAACAACAAAAACAACAACTTGCTAAACAGGAAAATGTATATGTCCTCCAGTAAAATTACTTCAAGCATGGTAATGCCTTATTATTCTGGCAATAGTTGAGAGATGAGTCAATTTTCTAGAAAATTAAAAAGGTTTTGAAAAATGTTACTCATCGAGATAGAAATATTTCTAAAATGCATTCCACATCTCTGCTTTTTAAATGCAGTGTATTGAACACAATTGACCTTTTCTTGGTGACTCACTTTGGCCATGAGTCATTGGCCAGTGCTGTAGGATCACCATGCCCTCAGAAGTGTCTGAGGTCTGCAAGGCTGTTCACTCAATTCTAAATGGCTCCAGACAGCCGTGCTTTTAGAGTTCTTCCACCTTCCCACCCTGTCATTTGTCACGTCTCTACTGGTTCCAATGTGTCCAACTTCCTGTTTCTCATGCTCTATGTTCACTTTGTACACACCTGCTGGGTGAGAGTCCAAGAGTGGCCCCAGCCATTCTCAAAGTACAGACACAAGGACAGCTCGTTCAGCCACTCAGGTGCCTTTTTATGCAGAGCCCTGATCCAAAGGAACTCAGGCCTTCCTGCCTTCAAGTCCCCAGCTGGGCTCCATGAGGGAGCTGTGAGTCTGACTTCCCAGGGAAGAACCCTGTAGCCGCGGCCTCCCAGCACGCTGGGATTAGTGCAGACCTGAGGTGTGAGGGGGCCTCAGGAGACCTCATCTCTCTGCCTGGGGTCCTGAGCTAAGCACTACTCCAGCCATGGCACCTAACACTTTTTTCTAGTTAGGGTCCGTTCGTTTTGCCTATCATGGACTTAGCAAGGATTACTTTCAGGTCCCTTTTCTGCCCTTTAGAAGGCTCTAAAAAGCCTTTCTGTTCTAATTAGTGACATTATAGTAGCCATATCCTTCCCTTCCTCTAAAGTAAATAGTGCTACCTCTCCTTATGGCTGGATGTACAGCATGTGGGACCAAGGTTGCTCTCCTAAGCAACTCAGAACTCTAGATCACCTATGCTGGGTACCTAAGCATGACTTTTGTTTTCAGATGTGGCTCCCCAGCCTCCACCTGCAGGTGATGGTGCTCAAAGCCTGCCAGAGGCCACCCACATTACTTGCAAAACAGAAAGGAGGTACCTGGCCTGAAGAATTGTGAGGCTCCTAGGGTACCAGGTGCAGAATGTGGGACCTTCTGAAGACCCGTTCATTAGCCTTTATCCACCAAAGGATATGAGTCTATGGGAGCAGAGCCATGCTATAGATAGCTCCTTCCCTATCTCGGTCCCCAACACATACTGAAAGAAGATATTCAAAATAATGTTTTCTAGATAGAAGTGTGTGGGAAGCTGAAGCAAACTGAGAAATCTTATCATTTTGAATGTAGTCCAAGAGGGAAGAATGATTCTGATCTCCCAAGAACTGACCATACCAGGCCACCAGCAAGGACTTCAGGCTGTCTAGTCAGACAGGATGAGTGGTTTAACCTCCTGCCATGGCTTAAAAAAAAAAGTTAGGAGAAATGTTTTTTCCAAGACAAACTGTTCTTTTCAAAAAATTAGTTTCCTCATTTTACCTTCTGTAATTGCAATTAGAAACAAAAATACTCTTTCATCTTTTCCTGTGTATATTTCATGCCACTGAATTGACCACTTAATCAAAAGGTAGGAATGATGGAAGAAAGTAAAAATAGAATCTTCTTTTTCTCCTCATTGACTCATGATGGAAGAATAATGACGTTGTGAGGCACTTTTCCGAGAAGCAGATCTCAGAGCCGTTTCCTTGGGCACACACTGTTCCTTCTCTGTCTTTTCCTCTCTACAGCTTCCAATCTTATGTAAGCATTCATCCACTTCAAGGGCACTCCAACCTCAGGCATTGAAAGTCCCAGAATTGAAGAGGGTTCTAATCACTGGCAACTATAAATATTCCCCAAAGCAACAGTTGCTAAGAGTTTTATTCAGTGACATTATCATCCCAGGTTTGTAAAAGGGAGGCAGAAGTGGGTGGGTCAGATATGTGTTTTAAATATATTTGAAGTTCTCTTACCTCTTCCTTGTTGATCAGACCCATTTTGGACATGTCTATGTTGAAGTAGTGAATGTTTGGCAGGCTGATCTCCATATCTTCTATCTGGAATCCACAGTGGTATGCATCACATTAGGAGCTGCAAGCCTCCATCTCTGTTGCTCCAGCCACCCTCGCCCTCCCCTACCCTTGTGTCCATTACTCAGGTTCGCTCTCTGATTTGGAGACACCCTCTGATGTCCCTCCACTGCCCGACACTGTTCTCTCCTGCTAGTTCTGTGATTAGATGGTGGGCTCACCCTTCTCCCCCTCAGTGTACGAAATGTGTTTCTCTGAAAAGAAAGGGCTCCTCAAGTCAGAAATCTGGGAGACCTCTTTGAAATCCAGCTGGCCTCCAGTTACTAGCCAGTCAACTTTCTAAATTCCTCCTCATTCCACTCCCTCCTTTCCAGGCCAGCACCTAATGTTTATAGGCCTTGCAGTAATAATTGGAGATCCACATACCAAATGTATAAAGATTTTAAAGTTACATAAATCAAGCTAAATTTTTTTAAGTGAAATATGTTTTACTCTTCTAACTTGACAAATATACCCTTCATAACAACCTGGAAAGCCAGGTATTAATTTAAAATTCTCTGACTCGTTGGAGTACCATGCCAGAGCATGGCAGCATGGGAAGAGCCAGACCCTTGCCTATACCCATCCCACCTTCTCTCTTGGACTCACACAGGTAGACACTCCAGCTTGCATGTCGAGCACCACCCATACCTCCTGCAAACATCTGCTTCTTTGCCTACTCTCAGGCCTAAACGTGAACACCAATAGCATGATCCGCCCTCTGGAAGACAGACCTCAAGAAGTGATTTGTCCAGGTTCCAGAAGTAGTCTCAGAGCTATTTGGACCGGAAATTCTGGAGAATGCGTGGGCCTCTGCAGGGTATGTTGCTGTGGCCCCACTGACTCTTCACCCAGTGGAGGGAGGCCTAGCCAGAGGAAGGTCTGAGGAGGGCCTCTAAAGTGCTGAGCCATGGCCGGAGTCTCACTTGCCCAGGTCTAAGGGTGGTACTCCTCCTTTCCAGCCCCACCACGGCCCAGATTCTCCTTGCAAGATTCTGAAATAGATCCCAACATGTCTCCTTGCCTGTGGTCCATCAACCTTTTAATTTATCACATTTCCGTCAGAGTGATTTTTCTAGAATCCAAATCTGGCACAAAACATCCTGTTTAAACTCCTCAGTGGCTCCCAGAAGGCTTCAGGATAAGGTACAGACTCTATAAATAAGCCTGCAAAGGCCCTCTTGACTGGCTGCTGTGGTTCCTGCCTCTTCTCTAGGCACATGGAAAGACTATAATTCATTCATATACATTCATCACATGTGATAGACCCAACAGTAAAGGACTGTATCATGCCATCTCTTGTCTCCATACCTCTCCTGCTGCCTCACCCTTGAGAGTAAACCCAGATAACCTCTAGACTCAAATCAAACACCCTTCCCTCTAGAAAACCTGGCTGAACTCATCTCCCATAACTGAGTTAGGTGCTTTGCTCTGTACTTTCACAATACTCTTTTCTCTATTGTATTGTTAGTTTACCTATTTTGTTTGTTCACTGAACAATGAGCTCTTTGAAGGTAGTGACTATGTCTAATTTATCTTTGTATCCTTTGTGTGCTGCCAGAGACATAATCACCATTCAATAAACGGATGAATGAATGGGTGGGGAAGTGGGTGGATGGACAGATGGATAGATGGGTGGATGGATGGATGAAATCTTTCTACATCTATCTTTCATTCTCTGGTTCTCCTGAAACACAGAACCTTTGTATAATTACCCCTCTCCCTCAAGGCATTCAAGTGTCCTCAATATGAGGCTTAAATCAGTGGCAGGTTGAAGGGACTCAAAGAATTTTCAACAAAACTCAAGGACTACAACAGTGGCCTGTGTTTTGAGGTTAGACAGATTTTTCCATTTTGTGCTCTCTTCTCACTTGCTATAACAAGCTTTTGAACAACAACAGATGTCATATTTCATGTGTCTTCCACTTTCTTATTTTAACTCTCAATTCTTTCTCAGAGCTGACAGAAGACACACATTCTCCCAATCCTCAGAATGGCAACTGACACAACATACCTCAGGAACTCGACTCAGGGAGAGCACCTGGATATCATAGAGGGTCTTCTGAACAGAGGGCGAGTACTCGCCTTTGTCATAGGGTCCAGCAAATTTCTCTAGGACAAGGTCCCGAATGGTGTCCCTATAACACAGAGAAGGTCACTGAGGATCCTGAAATGGTGGAATTTTAGGAATGTCTTAGAAAGCAAAGAAACAGTGACCTATCTGTCCCCAGAAAACAATTTTATTGATGTTTTTAGAAGAGATTAGTATCTTATAATGCCAAAACAAAACACCTCACTTCCCATTCCCCTACACACACACACACACACACCCCATTCAACAAACATACTGAGCATCACTAGACTGTCTTCATAGTTTGGCACTAGGGCCCAATGGGCACCTCAGGGTAAATTTCCCGTCATGTTTGAAGAACCTTTGAAGAGGACTCCCAAGTATTCTCACCATCTTGCTCTGCTTGGCTAGTTCGTTGAATAGTTACATTTAGGAGTTTACTCTGTGCCAGACTCTGTGTTTTTAGGTTAGACAGATTTTTATGCGCTAAGCATTTTATGTGATGATGTCATTGAATTCTCTCAATATAGCTGAAGTAGGTACTATTATTATCCCCAATTAGAGATGAAGAATTTGAGCTTAAAAGTTACGTGATCTGCTCCAAGTCTCTCTTTTTAGTAGGAGGCCCAGCCTACAGTACTATCCTGCCTCTGGCATGTTTAATTTCATGCTCTTTTCAACATAAATACATCAGGCTGCTGCTCATGGAGAGTACTTGAAATAAAAAGGAAAGAGGACTGAGGTGACATTCTCATCATGCATTTAAAAACCTATCACATAATAAAAGAAGCAGAGAAAAACTACACCAGTGGGAGGGAGTGCTGCGGGAGTGGGTGGTGGGGGAAGGGTATGCATGCAGATTCTAGCTTATGGTAGGGTAGAAATTGCTAACAGAGCTTTAGTAAAGGAACGAGATACTTAATCAAAAGGCAAGTTCTAAAAGTTCAGAGGCCTAATTACTCCGTCAGGTTATTATAATAATAATCATACCTTTATGTTGTGAGTTGTCAGAATCAAAATGGAGTCACTTGTGTCAGACTCCAATGGAATAAATAAAGCCAGGAAGCTGAGGGAGGGCTCTCACACACACATGGCTATAGAACAATTGCAAAGACTCTCTGAAGGGCTCTTAGGTATATATGCTTGTAACAAGAATTTTGCCAAGGACTTTTCAAACTGTGGCTTGCAACATGAGTCACAAAGACAGCTAGCAGGATGTACAAGAACACTTGCCTGACACAGTCTCCACTAATGAGCTGGCGTTAACTACTGCGATAGCCACTGTAACCAGGGTTCTCTTTGTCTCAAAACAAATAACGTACACTTTTTCCTTTTGCTTTTTTCCCCTTCCCTCAACCTCTTAGGATATACCTATGGTTCCTGTAGCCCACAAATTTGCAGATTCCCTGTGTGTTCCTAGATAAAATTATCTTTGGAGAATCTATCTCAGTTTGTTATTTCAGTTGACAGTATTTTTAAAGCATTTACAACTTATAAAATGCTTTTATGAACATCATGTCATTTTTAGTTTAGCCTATATTGACCAATTATCCCAGCTTGCCTGGAACCAAGAGGTTTCTTAGATGTGGGACTTTCAGTATTAAAATCAGGAAAGTCCCTGACAAATGGGAACAAGTTGGTAGTAAGGCCAGATATTCTTTTCATCTGATGCAGTGTTTCTTCAAGTGTGGTCGCCAGTCTAGTGGCATCTGCATCCCCTGGGAGTTTGTAAGAAATGTACATTCTTGGGCCCCACCTCAGTCCTACAGAATCAGAATCTCTGGGGGTGGGCCCAGCAAGCTTCATTTTCTGATTCTGTGTGATTCTGATGCACATGCCTGTTTGAGAACCACCAATTTAATAAACTGAATAAACAGAAGAGATTTCTGAATAGTGGGAGGGGAGGTTGAGTTGAATGGCCTCTAAGTTTCCCTTTCAGATCTAAGACTCTATGAAGTCTGTGCCCCTGGGACAAGGGCAGACACTACTTGCACACGTTCATACCAGGTAGCCTCGAAGTCCACATCCCTGCACTGGTGGTAGCGCCACTTGCAGTATACTTGTGTGGCAAAGCATCGGTCCTTCACCTCAGGGAGGGTGGTGAACTGGTCCTTGATGAAACCTTCAAATCCAGACTGGGTTGTTTTCAAGACCTTGAGGTCTTTGATTCCAGAATGAATAACTGGGGGTCCTGTTTCAAGTAGAAGGTCAGGAGTGGATTAGGTCATAAACAAAACAGTGCCTTGTTGCTGATGCTTAGCATAGAGGATCCTGGTGATTAAAACGTGACACATTCTGTACAAAAACTACAACACCGCCATGATTTCGGTCATCCTATTTCCTCTGAAGTCCAAGTGAGGAGGATGGTGTCCCTTTCTTTCCATCTGGATTCCATGACTCCCTGCCCAGTCTGGCCCTAGAAAAACTAAAGGTCTAAGAATAACCTCCATACTGTATCGAAGGCCACAGAAATGAATACCTTTCTCTCAAGTACATGCGGGAGTGTCTTCTCAGCCAACTCACCTTATGTATTTTGAACTTCATCTCCTTCAACAGGTGATCATCCTGCAATGTGTTAATAAACTCCTTAAGAGCCATACCTCTACCTGCCACTGTGACTCCTTTACTGGGGGTAGTCCTGATGCTGATCATCTACAGTAGCTGAAGATCCCAATCTCCACTAGGCCCTGATGGCATCCTAGTTCCCTTATGGTTATCAGCTCAGCAAAACCAGGCAACTTCATAAATGGGTAGCAGCGTGGGCCTGCCTGAGCCTAAATAAGACTGTGAAGATGAAGCTGGTGACTCACAAGGGATAGATCTGCCTAGTTGATATGTATAAAGGCTTTTGTTTTTTCTGCTGAAGGAGATGGGACAAAGTTGGTTCATGAGTACCTAGGGGAGAGAGGGGAGTTGAAAACAATGGAACGGATGATATGGCTCTCCTTCTGTCTCTGCTGCCCCTTTATAAGGTAATGGGGGAGGTGGAAGGTTGACAGGCATCATCTAAAACAGAACAGCATTAACATTACCATGACCTTATTTCTCTGAACAGGCTGGAAGGACTGGGGACATTCAGGGAGCACTTGGCAAACCCTGATAGCAAAGTGCCATGGCATGATTATTAAGGTCACCTCTTTTCAGTCTCTTCATTAGTTCTGACCAATATCTATCCTTCTTGGTCTGTTTAGTCTAAAAATCAAGGGTTAGAGGTATCACCACACACAGTCTTAGTTGAAGAACAAGAATATAATTCATGATCTTCAATTAAAATCCAATGAAGTTCTTGAAAATCCAATGGTTTATATCACCTATGTGGTTTCTATTGCTACAGTTAGCTTGGGAGCTGCGGAATTTCAAAAGCAGGTAAATAAAGTTTATATTTCTGTATTTTCTATACTTTAGTATACACCTACCAGAGAGAACAATAGCCAGTGGTTAGAGGTAGATCTGCTGATTAAATATGTCCTGATTAAAGAAGATACTCTGTGCAGAGCATCCCAGAATAATACAGCAAAAACAGGAAATTATTCTTGTTCAACTTTCTGAAGCACTTATTGGAAGCTATAGCTGAAGAAGGAGCAAGAGAAAGATACCAGCAATGCCTTACTGCCTTCAGTTGGCTGGGTTTATCAGATTCTAAATGTATAAAGTCATGATCCCACAAAATCGGCATTGCTACATGCAGTGAGTATAAGCCTCAAACCCAGAACTACAGAAGCAATCAATAAGTATCTGTTGAATGAATGAATGAGTTTAACCAAATTGATTCATGTCAAGGAATAAGTATCTCACAACTTAGTATCTTTCTTTTCTAGACAGCTCAGCCCCATCAATCTTTACCATTTCCCTTCCTGGTCCCCTCCAACTCACACACAGTGTGGCACGGGGTGAAAGGAAGGGTGTTAATCTTGGCTAAGAACCTCCTGTATGTAGACATACCTTTGGTTGCTGCAGTTTTCAGTATTAATCTTACTTAGTCCTCGAAACTCTATAAAGCAGATATTTTAATGCAGGTGGACTTTTGCCCATAGTCACATGGCTAGAAACTGTCAGAGGCGGAATTTAAACTCAGCACCACATTATGAGATCTCATGCTTTTCTTCCTGCTTTTTGGATCACTTACCATCTATGCAATATTTCTCCCTTCCTTTGACCCTTTCCCCATTAGTGTTCTGTAAGCGGCCTTTCCAGGAGACAAGGTTACCTCCTATCCACAGTGTGCTTTGAGGACCTCAGAGCCCAAGGCCTGAAAAATACCATCTCCATTGGTTTGAAATGGAGACTGAATAATCACTTTTAGAGTTGGCTTCTGTGTATCTAAAAAACTTTGTATTCCTTAAAATTTCCTATTGAAAGCCAAAAATACATCCCTTAAAGGAGTGACTCCCTAAGACTTCATAACGTACTATGATAAACTACTTCCCATTGTAAGCCTTTCTAGAAAAAAAATCCTATAGAAATAAAACATGGGTTTGCAATCAGGAGTAGGCCTAAAATGAGTAGTAGAAACCCTTGTAGGAGAATTAAAAGAAGGTGAAAAATAACCAAAGGCAAACTTTACCTACGTTGTTTTCTTCTTATTCATTGGGCCTTGACTGCTGGTATCCATGTAAGCGAATCAAACTTTGGCTCCTTTAATGGTGTTAATCATAAAAGGATTCCTGGATGTAATGTTGCTTAATGGTTGAATCTACAGCTTTGGGACTCAGATTCCTGGAACTCAAATCCCAGTGCTCTCCCTGCATCCTCAACCCCCATTTTTATAAGCTCTATGCTCGTGAGGGAATAATTTAACCTCTCTCTACCTTGATTTTGTCATCTGTAAAATGGAGACGATCATCATATCTATTTCCTAGAGTTGCTGCATGTCTAAGAGAATGCAATAAAGGACTTAGTAGAATGGCTGACCTACAGGAAATGCTCTACAAACATGATGATGATGATTTTGCCATAATTGACTTTTGTATTAACTTCAACCACTTGTAAATATTTCCCATGTTTCACAAAGTCTCACCGGGTTCTGAAAACTACTTCTAATGTGCCATCCTATCTATCTCCAGCCCTGGAATTTACTGACCTTACGGGAGTGTCAGTCCTACTAGGCCACTGTGAAATGATCTGCTTTCTCACTGGAATTTAAAATGGAGAAAGCAGTTGCATTTTTTAAATGTGTTTTGGCATCACTTTCACACAGAATAAAATGTCTCATGTTCCCCAAGACAATTAACTATTGCCACAGTTTTGGCAGAACACAAACCATCTACTTTGGTGCTCTCATCATTCTATAAAACAACAACAACAACAAAAACTATTCTCTCTGAATGTTAAAAGAATTTTTCCCTGGCACACATTAGACATGCTGGATGAAATCAGAGAGCTTATTTTATCTTCTCTGTTGGCAGTGCCCCAGCTTTCTGAACATTGGTAAGAACCTGAGGCTTTCAAAATCATGGGCCCATCAACTAAAAATATGATGCCTCACACACCGTAAAAAAGATTCCCATTTAGACTAACAAGAAGTAATTCAAAAAGACCATCCTTTTCTAGGTTACGCCCCATGAAATCACTTAATCAGCTTTTTTGTTTTTTTCTGCCATGGTTATGGAGTAATGCAAAAGAAAGATTTTTCACATTTCACTTTGTTAGAACATAATCTTTTCTAGCTTTTAGTGTCCTCCTACACACTTAGCAAATTGTGGCTTATCTCTCAGAGACGCATACATCCTACCCTTTAGCTATCTAAGGGAAAGTAACTCACTGCAAATTAATAGAAAATAAGCCCAATTCCTTACCTACGCATCAGGTGTCACAAGGCACAAAGCTTTATTGAGCCAAGAAAAAGATCAGATCTTGTCATAAGAAGATAATTGCTTCCACATTTAACACCTCCAAAAAGGACACAAATAGCTGAAAAGGGGATATTTTAAAACCATATTAAATCATTCTAGTAGAAAATCTCGAACTTGTAAAGTGCCAGAAAAAGTAAAGATTAATTAAATATTTGCCTTGGAGAGTTTATTTCGCTCATGCAGGGAGAGTGAAAGCTCTCTCTGTGCAATTCTGGATGGAAAGAGATGACATCATCCAGATGGTGGAAAATTAATTGGGCTTTTGTACAACGAGGTGATGATCAGGAAGATTTTAAAAGACCGCAAGTCTGCCAGGACTTTTCTTACAGAGGAACCGAAAAGCACTTTAGTCTTAATATCGAAAGGACACAACACATGTTTTGGCAGTAGCCATCTCTGTCCTGGATCTTCCACTTCTTCCATCTTACTTCTTCTATCTGCCCATCTTGTCACCTCTTAAATCTGTTCTCCTCCAGGACCGATTTCATCGGCTGCCTTCCTTACAACTATCCCCCTACCCTTACTAGCCTTGTATAGGAATGTATTATACTAGCCTTCATGTCAATAGTTGTATAGGAAGTATTTTTCACTACCAGAAGACACGATCTAGTATTTGAGGTCTCTTCTCCATCTTCCATTCCTCTATTTAGGTACGCTTCAGCTGAATTTCATAATTAGTGTCAAGTGGGAAAAATCTGATGCTAAAAAACTGTGACTTATAATTCAAATAGTGCAGAGGTTTGGGGGTTGATTTAGTTCAAATTTGTGACTCCATCATACCAATGACTTCAAAGCTCCATTAAGCTTGTAGTTCCTCACTGATACATGACAGAAAGAGTTCCAAAGATTCAATTCCATACGATACCTAAACCAACAACCTGCATCATACACATAGGGCCTAGTTCTGTTCTCAGGGCTTGAGAAGTCACAAACATAACACCAGCCCTCATTCCTTTGGGTGAACAAATTTCTTTCTCTCTTCCAGATTCTTCCATGAAATCAGCAGGCTTTGAAACAACTAAAATACAGCCTAGTGATGTAGCTGTAAAAGATCCACTAAGAAGAAACCATGTAATGGGAGGAATTCCCAGGGTTTAAAGTGGTGTTTGAGGTTCAGTAGGAGTTCTAGAAACGTTTGTTCAGTTGCTACGTAAGAATGAATATAGTCCATCGGGAGAAACCCAGTCACACCTCCAGCTGGGAAGAGTCCTTTTGGAGGTGGCATGACTGAACGCGTGATTATGCACATGTGTTTGAAGCGGCAGAAGTCTTAACATTCTAGCAAGTCCCCCAGCAAAGGCACTACTCAGGTGTTCCTTTTCTAACAACAGCTTTCACC